GTAATCGTAAGTTAATGAATAGATTTGCGAAACAATTATAGGTATTGTTATGATTGACACAATTCTACGCCAATTATACGATTCCAGTCGTGATAGCAATCGCTTTATACGATTGAATATTAATTGTGAAACAAGTAGTAATTTTTTGCTAATAATTACATGAAATATACGTTTAATGCGTGAGAATAATAATGCAATCAAAGCACTCGTGTCTATGAACGCCACCCCAAACCACAGCCCAAACAGACCCCCGATGTCTGACATGAAGTTAACAAATGAATATTTTTTATGACTTGTATAATGAAATTCATGGTATGGTTTGTATTGAATAGTGAGTACACTATCTGTGAGTCCCATAAACTCTGTTTTATCCAACTCTAAGGTGTGGTAAATCTGATGGCAATCACTAACACAAAAATCTTTGCATTTATCGTATTTATTGTTCAAATCGTTAAAAATTATCATGTTTAAATCGACAGAATTATTACAGAATACACTCATTTGGATATTATTTATGATAAACATTGTTATAAAAATCCAATTTATCCAACAATAAAATTTAAATCATTTGATGAATATCTGGTATTATATGTATTCGTGGATCAAATGTCTAATGAATTGATGACAACGAAAGGGACGGCACTTAAGATACCGAGTGTTGGCATTAATGCAAGGATTAATATATACAACACTTATGTAAACAGATTGTCCACACCTTATATGCAATATTGTCAACAAAATTCAGGTAATATTAGCTAAAAATATAATTATAAATTTAAAAATTAAATTTACTTTAATTGAAATAGTTTCGCATATGAAGTGCTATTGGGATTGCATTTATCGAAAATGTTACACATTATACAAATGTATACCAAATCCATATTTCTATGAAAAGTTTATTCTCCAAAATGCGAGACAAACAGAGTATGTATTCTGTAATAATTCTGTCGATTTAAACATGATAATTTTTAACGATTTGAACAATAAATACGATAAATGCAAAGATTTTTGTGTTAGTGATTGCCATCAGATTTACCACACCTTAGAGTTGGATAAATTGGATTTTTATAGCAATGTTTATTGTAAATAATATCCAAATGAGTGTCCGGTAAGAGAAAATTTTTCTGTTTTTCATATGATATGCGAAACTCAACGAAATGGTCGTCAATGA